GGAGAGAGGAGAGGAGAGGAGAGGAGAGGAGGAAAGAAAGAAAGAAAAGAAAGAAAAGGAAGGAAGAAAGGAACCCATGAATACTGTTTTAGTTTACAACAGAAGCCTTGGATAACCCTGAAGTTAAATTAAGATCCCTCTACTTCCCATCTGTCATTCATTCCCCATCCATGTTGCCTCCTCACCTGGACTTCATCTGTACTTCAACAGCTATCAAACTTCCCTTTCAGAGAAGTAGCTGATATTGCATATATACTTACAAGGAAATTGCTGCCTTTCAGTTCTTTCAAGCCTTAGTTCTATGATAGAGTGCACTACTGTCCCTTAGAGAAGCATCTTTTAGCTATTTGTAAACAGGTGGGAGTATGGAAGATCTGAAGAGTTGATCTCAAGAAATCCAGAACAGGTCTGTGCTTGCTCTGTTGTGCTTTGTTTCAAACCCCTTATCCAAATTCCACTGAGTTCTTGGTTCCCTTAGTAGGACAAGACCTGCTTCCTCTTCTCCTTATTCTCCCATTCACCTTAGACCAAATCTTTAAAAACCACTGCCTACTTAGATAAGGTACCTAAAGCAAAGAAAAAAAGAAAGACCTTAAAATCAGTCCTTATTCTTCTATGTTTAAATAAACGAACAAAAAACAGCTGCAGAATTCAACCTGCAATATTTGGCATACATAGACCCGACCTGTGTATAAAGTAACAATAAACATCTCAGGTTCTGAAGATCAGCTATTTAGATATTAGATTTTCTACTAACAAGCTGACTACTGCTTTGGAGCAAATACTTAATCATTTTGTCTCACTTTCCTCATCTATGAAATGAAGATGATGTCTCATAATATTGTTGTAAAGATTAAATTAGTTATTTCACATAAAGCACTTAGAACAGTGCCTGCCCTTGATACATATTCAGTAAAGGTAAGATCATATTGTTTTAAGTTCTTCCTCTAAAAAATAAATATTGCATGATGTAATCCCTGTAAGTCAGTCCTCCCTGCCCCTCCTCAGGTACAACCAAATCTACACAAGCATTAATCAGAGAAACAGATGGTCAAAAGTGGCACAGTAGACACAAAGATCCCCACTGTTTTTCCTAGAGCTTTTCTCCACTGGATCCATGACTGGTTTGAGTTTCGCAGGCACAAAAATAAGTAAATCCTTCTTATAATAAACTTTAAACAACACTAAATCAGCTCATGACAATTTGGGAGCCCACTGCTCTTTGGAGAATGATTCACAGTGATACCATTCTATTCACACCACTGCCCAATGAGCTGCCATGCACAAGCATAGCAAAGAGTATGTGCTAGGAAACATTCTGAGTGGATATTCTACACATGAGTCTTGAAGGGTGTCAGAATGTGGTTTGACTACATCCCAAAGGAGGTATCTAAAATGGCAGTACTATGAGATAATAGGCCCCCATCTCCTTGCTCCCACTTCTGCCACCCTAATCCCTTTCCTACTGAATCTATGCCTGATCTCCATAGGCAGGATATATGTTTCTTTAGTCACCAACCAATTCAGACCAATATATATCATCCCAACTCAGCCCCACTGACACATCAGGCTTGGAATGAGACATAACTTCTGGCCTGAGGACTGGGTTCCATTACCATTGTTGAGGTCCCATGTGGCTCTCTTGGAGCCATAACACTCCCTAGAGCATGTGTTTCTCCACAAACCCATGATTTATCCTGTCAGCTCCCTCACCACTACCCTGTTTAGGGCTTGGTTGGACAACTGGCCTTTGGTCTTGCTCCCTACTCCTTAGTTCTGAGCAACTACTCTCAATAGTAAGTACTTCAGCCTAGCTCCCAGGACCAGAATTGGCCCCACTGCAGACTATTGCCCAGGGATTTCATGGAACTGATTTGCTCATACATGTCCTCCTGGTTCCCTCTCTCAATCTAGGACCCATGGAAAGGACTCTCATCTACTGTACTCATTCCATCTGAGTAGACACTTCCCTTCCAATCCCCTAAATCATGTCTCCTTAGAACTACTTATTCCCAGAATGTGAACTCCCCTAATGTGAACTCTGCCTTGGCTACAAGACTGTCTCTAGAATCAATTTTAGGAACATTGGCTTTCTCACCCCAACCCCATCTGTGGTCCAGATTCATGTCTGTGCCTGACCCCCTTGCTGCCTATGCTTTGCCAACAACAGAGCATGTGGCAAAGAATACACTGTGAAAATTTCTTGGTAATTAAAAAAAAAAATCTCAAAAAGTTTTAAACTCATGTGTTAAAGGTAAATTTCAAAATGTCCATAGACTCAAAACAGCCACAGCAAAACATCAATACAAACGGAATGTGACCATATTCATTTCTTAAATTTTCCATCTCATCAAAATAAACCACCTTGAAGAAAATGTCAAGATATTTTTGAACCAACCATCCTGCCATGTTTCTATCAATTTGGACACACCTACCTCAAACCACTGCCCGTGGGACTGCATCTTGAGGATGACACAGGGATCTGGTTTAGAAAGGGCATCTCTGTCGGAAATGCCTTTGCATGCCACACGCAGCTCAACTTTGGTCAGGCAGGGGCTGTTGAAGATTCCCAGCGTGTTGGCAGCTGACTCATAAATGTTGCTCATCTTCTTCATTCTGTTTTATACAAGTAAAAGAAGGAAAAAGACACACCAATCACTGTAGTACGTGTCAAAAGAAGTCCCCTCGACCCAGCATGCCTCAGGAAATTGTCTGATACACAGTTTCAAATATGGAAGATGTATTTATTATCTCACTTTCTTATTTTTTAACTATTTTTTTTCCTTTTTGAGACAGAGTCTCATTTTGTCATCCTTGGTAGAGTGTCAGGGAATCATAGCTCACAACAACCTGAAACTCCTGGACTCAACTGATTCTCTTACTTTAGCCTCCTGAGTAGCTGGGACTACAGGTACTCGCTACAGTGTCTGGCTATTTTTAGAGACAGGGTCTCACCCTTGCTCAGGCTGAGCTCAAGCAATCTATATGCCTCGGCCTCCCAGAGTGCTAGGATTATAGGCATGAGCCATCAAGCCCAGCCCTATTATCTCATTTTCCAACCTAGTGACAAAATTCCAGTGAAGCAAATCAAAACAAACAAACAAACAACAGCAACAACAAAACAAGCACTGGTGCAGACTTGAACACTATTTTCCTGTAAGATTTGCATACATTTGCATAGTAAAATTTTTGGTCTGTGAAATTAATGAATTAGTGCAGTAGACTGCAAACTGTAATCCAGCTCTAAATTAAGTACATGGCTTCTGTGGGGGTTTTACAGATTTGTTAGTTAATCAATTTAATCACATTGCAAGTTTTTAAGATTCCCTAAAAATCCAACATTCCTCCTGTGTCATGACACAGAGAAGTACATTGTTCCACCTGAAGAAATAGCCAAATTTCTCATCTCTAAAGCCTGGCCCACCTTCTCAAGATGCCATAAATGAGCCAGCACGAGAGGCTCAGTGTCTGAGTTCTTGTCCCAAGTATTTAAGTCTCATCTCATCTTCCCTTCCCCACTTTCTGCCACAGTAGAACTCAGAATCAAAAGAGAGCAAGTAAGAAGGGAGGAAAAAACACAAACCCTATGATTCTGAACTCATGGAACAGCAACTACATACTAGGCCCCTGCCCAACTCCACCAGACACCTGTATAATGACACTTTGCATCCTAGAGACACAGGACACAGAGGTCCTCCAGGGACCAACAGTGCTCTCCTCTTTCTGTGAGAGTAAGGACATTGGAAGACTTTTTTCAGGAGCAAAATTCAATAATCTTCTCATGGAATTCTATGTCCTTCCTTGTAGATTCATTAGGAAAAATGATAATGGCTTCATCAACCTCACACAGCATGGATGTCAAATAGTGGAATTTCTTCATCTATAGAGATTGAGATAATCCCTCCCTCTCTCTGTCCCTTCCTCTACAAATATTCTCTTTGGTACTGGCACCTTACTAGGTTCAAGTGAGTACATATTGCTACCTCTTTTACAGGGAGACGTCTGTACCTCTGTGTCCCACACACACTCACACACATGAATAAAGTTTTATTGTAACACAGCCATGCTCATTCATTTACACCTTACCTGTGGTTGCTTTCAGTACAATGCTAGAGTTGAGTAATTGCCCACAAAGCTTGAAATATTTACCATGTGACCCTATTGAGAAAATGTTTGTCGAGCTCTCTTCTAAAATATCAGGTAAAGGGAATTTGTAGTGGAGGAGAGTTGCAATCCTATGTTAGTGTATGTTGTGGAATTAGTTTGAGGACGAGAGCTATTCTATCTTCTACCAACCTAAACACTAATAGGGACTTGGAGATATTTTTCTTAACCTTTAAGTAAATTCCAGCTCTGAAAAGACTGGTGGTTTGCCTACACCATACAATTATTCTAATGACACAGGCTTGTGGCTCTTTTTACCACAGATAAAACCTTTAGCTGTAGAACTGTTCAATTCTACTAAGGAACAGTAGACAAAACAATTTTACTTGATTTCTTTTAAACTCCATACAGTCATATTTCCTTTCTACTTTTAAATACATTTTACTCAAATATAGAAAATACAGAAGTCATAAGTCCACAGCTTATTAAATTTTTGTGATTCTATTTTTACAAGTTTTAAGTAGACCAATAATTAAAGCAACAGAGGTGACAAACTGTGCATGAAGTGAAATTTAGATCAAAGCAAAGAGAGGGAAGGTGGCTTTGTGTTTGGAAGCATATTGTGAACTCTATCAACTCTTTGATAAGGACAGCTTGTTCTTCAATCACCATCTTCCTGAATTCTTCTTTCTCATTACATTAACTGGCTCTTGGAATCTACATTCCTCTTCTGCATTCTTAACTGGCTTGTCCTATATCTAGGAGCCATCTCTTCCCCTTTTAACAATCCCTGTTCTTGTAGGCTCACTCATGCCATGTGTGTCCCCCTCTAGACCCACTGACTTCATTCTACAGCACAGAAGCTTCTATAGAATGAAAAACCTTCTTTAGCACCAGCCTTAATTATGAAGTATAATACAAAAAAAGGGAGGGGGGAACACATAACTCCAGATTGAAATCCTGGCTCCTCTACTTATTATTCATGTGTCCCTGGGAAGGTTACTTCCTCTTGGACAGTAGAATTACCTACGTTGAAGAAGATGCAAAAGTTGCTGTAAAGAGCAAATGAAGTAATATATACAACATTATTAGCATAATATTAGGTAGATTGTAGACAAACAGCAACTTTTTGAATCATTAGTTCATCTAAGGATTTATACATATGAGCCAATAATTCTAACAGTTTCACAAGTCAGATAGGAAAACAGTAGTGTCAGCTCTACAAAGATTGTGCAGCTGCTTTATCAGCTTCCTGGGACAGGTACTTTATTCTTCAGTGTTTTTCCCAAAGCATTAGCTGGCTCCCTGGGAATCCTATATATCCATATTCTACAGGCGCCCTTTCTCAGTTCATATGGCAGATGGTCATATGTCATGTGCAATCCACATGGTGTCTAATAGGAACTGCAGGAGTCCTACAATGCAGACGGATCAATGGTCTCATCCTCCCTCATTGATTCATTTTCAGGTTATTACAACAGTTTTGGTTCACAACTACCTGGTTAACTGCATTTCAAACAATATCTCCTTTTAACTATCCCTCCCCTGCAAATGTATCACTGCAAAGCAATCTCTGAATACAATGATGCAGATATGAAAACACCATGAAATGGCGGTGTCACTAGGAGGTGACAAGTCTAATCCTAGTCTGAGGTTTCCATCAGCCACTTGCTTAAAAATTGTGACAATCTAATCACACAAGAGTTGCCCCAAATAATTCAAAATTATCAAGCTTTCTTGAAATATGGATTGACAAATACAATCATTGATAGAACATCACATACCAAGTGTATGGAGTATTTAACTCTGAATTATTAGTTCATGATGATAAATGTAAAGAGTTTATAAATGAATGAACAAATGAACTGGAGGCACATGTCCAGGGATGTTTTTATTAATGAATATATGATCCAGCAATTTTATAGATGACTTATTTAAGCAATGGGAAACACTTAGAGGATTTGGAGCTGGAAATGGATGTGTTCAAATAAGTGTTTGATAAAGACCTTCTAAGTAAAGCACCATGAGAATGAGGAAAAAAAGAAAAAAATGCCACCACAAGTACTCACTGGAACTAATTGATCAATACCCATGTGCACATTTAGTGGTAAAACTCAATGAAAAGCTAGCAGGTAGGTGGACACAGGAGGGGAGGGGTAAATTCCCACCTGATGGGTACATTGCACACTGTCTGGGTAATGGGCACACTTAGAACTTTGACACAAACTGTACCAAAGCAGTTCATGTAACCAAAATATTTGTACCCCCTAATATTCCAAAATTAAAAAAAAAATAAAATCCCTGATCAGATATATTTGAGTTCATGAGTTTCTGTACCAGCCCAGAGGTAACAGCAATCCCAACCTTGACTTTGGAGGTGGTACACAGGCCAGTGAAGTCAAATTGTTTGGCTTTTGTCCAGCTCAAGCTCACTGCTGGAAGGTGATCGCAAAGTATGGCTCTGTCAACAAGTGACCAGCTACCTCTAGCTCTAGATAAGTGGAGTAAACAAGTAATTTCACACTCTGTTAGACAACAGGATTAATACGGCCAGATTATCAATACATTTTCCATGGCCTGTTTAAATCCTCTTTGTTGCCTTTCATACAATACCCTGGCTTTATGGAGACTAATGTCTGCTGAGAATTATTTTGATGAAAGCTGACTTTTGGCCAATTTTAGAAGCAAATTATAATTGTCCTTTCACTCAGACAAGTTATTAAAAAAACCACTACCTCAGCATATCCACACTCTCTAACAGGACAAACTGATCCTGAAACTTAATTAGTTTCTGAACAAGTTGCAAACAATACAAGAGAATAGAGAGCTCCAGAGGAAAGGGAATCAGCTTGAGTTCACAGGGGAACCAATTGAGCAGATCTTGTCTCAAGACTGTGTTAAGTGCATAATCACAGTTCTGCTTGCATTAGCTTTATTCATCCTTTTAAAATGTCACCGTACATCCCAGGAAGACTGGTGTGTTGATGTCTCTATTGCACAACATTTCCATCTCAATTCAAGAAATATGTATAAAGCATCTGCTAAGCACCCGGTGCTGTGGTGCCATTCACTCAACCAGAGATAAGTCAAGTATTAGTCCACTGACACTTGTGAATTCATTTTCTATTGTACATTTCTTATGTCAAGAGTAGACCTACTCATAGATTTGCTCATAGGTTGCAAGCACTATGATGGACACTGTGAGGGACGAAGGCACGGATCAGACAGTCCACTGTCTAGAGGTTCATATTCTGGAACAGCACTTCTCAGACTTCCCACAATCACAATTTACCTGGGGAGGCTGTTTAAGTGTAGTTTCTGTTTCCAGAGTCTGGAATGGGACCTGAGATTCGGCTCCCAGATGTCATTGTCCAGATAGCTGCAAGGTTGTCAAGTACAGGCCAAGCATCTATAACAAGGCAAACTGCCCTGGAAGTTGCTTTTCTTAAGATTAAACACTTATACACAAGATGCAGACAATGTAGAGATAAGAGTGCATATCTAGCATTAGA